TCTATCTACCTTTCTATCTATCTATCTATCTATCTCTCTCCAACTCTCTCTTTCTCTCTTTGTCTTCATCTTTGTCTGTTTGTTTGTCTATCCGTCTGTTCTACTAAGTATATAGATATGAAAGTTTTTTTGTTTTTTTACATTACATTAGATTTTTCCTTTTGGGCTGCAGTGAAATTGCCTGAACCATTTAGCATGCTTTATTTTCTTTTATCTGTGTTCAAAACAGTTAGGAAAATGTGAATGTGTTTTTCTTTTTTTTTGTGTTGGGGAAAAGTCTGTTTAAGCCTTCCAAAACTTTTGTGTGAGGTTAGTGTTTCTGACTCTCTCTCTCTCTCTCTCTCTCTCTCTCTCTCTCTCTCTCTCTCGCTTGCTTGTTCGCTCGCTCACTGATAATAATAGCACTAATGGTAACACGAGGATGGTGGTAATATAATAATAATAATAATAATAACGATAATGATAATGATAATGATAACAATAACGATGATAATGATAATGATAATGATAATGATAACAATAACGATGATAATGATAATGATAACAATAACGATGATAATGATAATGATAATGATAATGATAACAATAACGATGATAATGATAATGATAATGATAATAATAATATTGATAATGATAATGATAATGATAACAATAACGATGATAATGATAGTGATAATGATAATAATAATATTGATAATAATAAGGATGATGATAATAGTAATGATAACAATAACAATGTTGGTAATAATACTAGAAATAATCATAAAAGTAATATCAATGATAGTAATGATAATAAGGTTAATGATATTAATAATAATAAAGATAATAAGAACCGTAATAATAATAATAATAATAATAATAATAATAATAATAATAATAATGATAATAATAATAATAATAATGATAATAATAATAATACCAATGAGTGGTAATAATAATGATAATAGTAATGTGATAATAATAATGATAATAAGAGCAACAACAACAATAATAATAATAATAATAATAATAATAATAATAATAATGATACTAAGTAAAAAGTCGGTGCCAATATTACCCATACTATTCTCATAGTATTACATTCACTGCAACATAATCATCATTACCAGAACCACCATTACCACCAGCATGCAACATTCACCCTCTCTCCTTAGCCAATAATTATCTTTCATCGCTGCATATGCGGACGCGTGCCAAGGCAAAGGAAATTAGATGAAATATTAATCAGGCTGAAAAGAAAACAAGGACCTGGAGTTGATGTTCCTAATGATGTTCATTTGCATCCCATCCTCATGCCATTAGCCGGAGAGCCTCGTAGTTCAGATAAGAATCGCGGTGCAACATCCGGTCGGTCTTTGCAATCTGGCGAAGGGTATCTGCTCGGTGGTATGAATGATGCTTTCTTCTGTCTCTTCTTCTGTTTTTTTTTTTCTTTCTTTCTTCTTTTTTCGTTTTTCTTCGTCTTCTTTCTCTTCTTCTTCTTTCCTTCCCTTCTTCTTCGTCTCCTTTCTCTTCTTCTTCGTTTTCTTTCTTTTCTTCTTTTTCTTTCTCTTCTTCTTCGTCTTCTTTCTTTTCTTCTTCTTTTTCTTTATCTTCTTCTTCGTCTTCTTTCTCTTTTCCTTTTTTTCTTTCCTGTCTTCTTTATCTCTCCGTTCTTCTTCTTCTTTTTCTTTACCTTCTCCTTTTTCTTTATCTTCTTCTTCGTCTTCTTTTCTTCTTTCCCTTCATCCTTTTTCTCCTTTCTCTTCTTCGCCTTCTTCTTATTCTGCTTTTTCTTCTCCCTCGTCCTTGTCTTTATCTTCTTTTGTTTTCCTCTTTTCGTTGTATTATTTTTTTCTTTTTGCTTTTATTTAATCTTCCTTTCTTTCCTTTATTTCCTGTTACTGTCCTTTTTTTTCCCCTCTTCCTTTTCCGTTCCTTTCATTTTTTCCTTTATCTTCCTCTTCTGTTCCTTTTATTTTTCCCTTTATCTTCCTCTTCTCCTTCTAAGGCAGGGGCAGTTACATGCATCATACGTATACAACATACTTAACATACAGAAGGGGAGATTATGTTATTGTTTTTTGTTCATTACGTCATCAAGGTTGCCCGGTAATGAAGTGTGGGGGGGGGGGGTGGAGGGAACAGAGGGAATTTCGTGTTTGCTTTTGCGTTTGTCTGTGTTTGCGTGCTTGGATTTGTGGGTGGGGATCGTTGAAGCCTTTTGGGGGAAGTGTTTGTTTGTTTGTGTGTGTGTTTGTTTGTGTGTGTGTGTGTGTGTGTTTGTTTGTTTGTGTGTATGTGCGTGTGTGTGTTTGTTTGTTTATGTGTGTGTGTGTGTGTTTTTGTTTGTGTGTGTGTGTGTGTGTGTGTGCGTGCTCATGTGTGTATATATGTGTGTATGTGATAACAACAAAAGGTCTTTGTCCTCAAGTACACACAACACATAATATGAGAACCATTCTTTCCTGCCCGGACCTTCAAGTTGGACCTCATGACCGGTCACTCCCCCCCCTCCCCC